CACTGCTCACTTTGAATGACCGCGGCACTTTTTGGAACAGTTCAATTCCCTTGGACGAACAGCACCGGCATAAACTTAGTACATTTTCTTTCGGGAAGAAAGAGCATGCAATGTTCCGGGCTGTACATTATCGACACCAGAGGATAAAGGTACGTTGTGTATATTGGTCACAACGTTAGTTGCTAATGAATTTAACGTTTCAAGGCAACTAAAAAGGGAGTGACCTCATGTCAAATGAACAGGAGAGTATTAATCATTCACAAGATCGGTGAACACAATTATTTTTGCGCTGTAAATATTCCACCGAATACATGACCAGTTGGGCAGAGTTCGTGCCTAATATGTGCACTCGAGTTAAGCAGGTGGACAATAATACCACGGTGCCATTGAACCACCCTGACCTCATTATAAAATACAGTAGAGTACCCCTAACTGCAAGAAAAATTCTCACTCCACGTGACCCAAAGTGCCACCCTGCCAGGCACTTCGACGGCACCCGTAAGCGAGGTCACATCACCTTAATATTTCAATAGCTCCACCGACCTTCCAATCCAATCCCGGATCAATTTCAAGATCACACTCACAGCCTGCATAATGCTACCTCGACTGCCACCTGCCTCCCTCCCTCTCCTCCTCTTATCTCACTCTCCTTCCCTTCACGTGTGTATGTATGTGTATATTGAACTTCTTTCGCACCATACGCTGCCAACCGTCCTAATCGGAGGTGCGGGGAAAGGACAACAAACGAAACAGACAAAAAAGCAGTTCTCAAGAAATTAGTTTTCAACGTGGAAAAATGCACTCGCCTGCCTCTCCACTCTTCATATCAAGTAACTCCCCTCCGTTTACTCTCCACTCCCGCAACCCAAGGCTTTCTGTCCAAGCCCCCCCCCACCCCCCGATCAGCCTTCTCTCAGTGCTCGTTCTCCTCTGCTGCCCCCCCACTGTGTGGAACAGCCGTCCATGCCCTACGCGAGACTTCCAAAACAAGTCTTCTTTGGCGAGCTGAAGAATGGCAAGCGAGCACAAGGTGGCCCCAAAAAGCGCTACAAGGACACCCTTAAAGCTTTCCTGGAGAAGAAAAGTACAGGACGGTGCAGTCATCTGTGAGAGTAGGAGAAGCTCCTGTGCTATCTTGAAGAGGCAGCAGCGCAAATCTACCAAGGAAGGACTTGTGGCTGCACCTCAGAGCTCTACATCCTCCCTGGCCTGTGCAGTGTGCCGCAGAGAATGCCCGGCTCAGATTGGCCTCTTCAGCCATCTGCGCACTCATCAAAACCCAACAAAATGACAAACGTGCCGTGGTCATCATCAACTTTGATGGACGAACAAGAAGAAGGAACAGCCGTCCCCCAGCTCTCCATGCTGTCGACCCCCCCGACTTCTGTGTTTATCGAGCCTGGACTAACTACAGGCTCAAGACCTAAAAAACAAAAATGCCCACAGTTTTAGAACGGAGTCTTGAGTTGCGGTCACATTTTGGACACTATTTTAAATCCACACTGTGACCACAGATATTTGAGAGTGCGGTGTGGAGTCGATGGTTTAATCTCCTTGAGACCGCAGAGTGTTTTTTTGGGGAACGCATCTTTGTAACGTGAATATCACAGTCACATCGTGGGAGTTGGCATAGCCAGCGAACGTCGCTGGCGCTAAAAGACGCTGTTCGACAAATACCGTGATTGATGCATTGTGAGTAAACTGCGATTTTAAGCTGCAGCAATGATGTTTCTCTGCAGGCATGCAACACGAATTATGTAGACGCAAACTGCTCATATTTCTGGAAGGTGGCTTAGGAGTTTACTTTAGACTTGGCATCTCAGCCACCCGTGACTAAAACTGGATTCTCAAAGTGTTCCGATTCGATGGTCTAATGGCAGTCAAAAAAAAGACAAAGATCCCCCGTATAGCCTTAACAGACTGTAGGGGCAAGTGCTGTTAGCGAGCACCTATGAAGGCCGGAACGGTACACGAGGGGGTGGGTGGCCAGCACCACTGCCCGACCGCCTTTGTCTCCGTAGTGGCGATGTTTATACACCGAACCAGGTACTCATTTCAGGCTGAGTCGACCTAGGGGAGGCCCAGGACCGGTTCAGATAATCGTCACTGGTGTTGGCCGTGAGCGGGAATCGAACCCAGGGTCGCCAGGTTCATAGCGCAGCGTAGCGCTAACCGCTACACCTACCACTCCCCACGAATGGCAGTCACACCCAATTTACACACACACACCCACAAGATTAAATGTGGCTTTGCAATTAATTGGAAAAAAAGTCCAAATCTATGAAGCAACACAATGGTTGGTTTCGGTTTATTGTGTCAGTCTCATAGCAGGGTGTGTGGGGAAATTATAAAAAGGGCATCTGCAGGGTATTAGTGGGAGCAGTCCCCTGAACAATCTCATCTGCAGCTATTATCTGCCATGCATGGGTTGCACTGCTGTGCGAGATTTCCAAATAAATTCTTTACCTCGTGTCCTGATGTAGCACAATCGGAAACACATTTGAAGAACCCCCCACCCCGCCTCCAACATGCACATTTGTATTTTGACTTTGCCAAAAAATGTATGTCATGCATTTTCAGGTTCTTGGTGGCAGGTAACTTCAGGATTTGTAGATAGGGCACGCAATTAAATAATAATATAATAGCCCGGAGTCAGTGCGGATTTTAACATAAATGCGTGACCTTTAGAGGAAGGCTTTCCAAAGTTAAGCTGAACGAGGATATAAAACAGAACTATAATTTACCCTAACCCCATCTGGCTTTTACTCAAGATATGTATACCTTTACGCATTTGTATATAGAGATGATGGCTACAGGCATTATAGGTGTGTGCAATATATCACCCGGCCATCTCAGTCTTGTATATGCCGTACAGCATTCATCAACGGTAGTTCAATCGGCTTTAGCGTCACATTCCATGGGAGGTAAATTACTTTTTTTTCACGGATGTATATTTCCGTACACGAGTGAACCAAGCGGCACGTGACTTCAAGAATGATGATGCATTGTGTAAGTGTTCAGCACAAGACTTAAAACGGCATAGAGAATATTAGGGGTTACGTTACCCAGTGAGTGAAAGCAATCAACGTACGTGCTGTCATTTTTGGAGGCACATATTACGACATTTAGTTGATTGTATTGTGTAGTCACAAGTACAGACTTGACTTATTTGTGCCAAACGTCAGCTTCCTGCCCTTCTTGATCATCGTTATAACGTCGACCATCTGGTCAACCTTCGCTCATTGTGGATGGTGCTCATTCTCCTCTGCTGCCTCCATAGCCTGCAACTTCCTTCCCCCAGCCACCCATGCTGTCGACTCCGTGTTCTTGGTCAAATCCAGGCTCAAGACTTTTGTTTTTTTTAAATCTGTCTCGGATTGATTCCCTGTCTTTTGTGAAATAAACACGCCCGACTTTTTTTCTGTACAGCATCTTGAGATGCGCCACGTTTAGATGCTACGAAAATCCAAATTGTAATGCACATTGTGTCACGATCGTCTAACCCACGCTGAACCAGCATGGTGAAGTACGGTAAATGAACCCTCATGCATTGGTTGGCATGGGGAGACCTTGGATTCACAAAGGGTTGTACTTGTATTTATCTGATTCGTTAATAACATATGAGCTGTATCCGGTGTTCCACTTGGCAGTAACAAAGGTTCCTGGCAAACAACCCGGTGGAGCAACCTTTAAGCCAAAGTGCCAGATATCCAGAATATCCATTAAAATATATCCCGAGGTTTGTCAGCCAACTACCTTTTCGGGGTATGGCTGTGACTTGGGAATAAGCGGGTCTCTCGATTTGGCATTGACTAATGATAGAATTGATAATTAATGGATTTCCAAGAAGAGGCCCACTGTGAACATTTGCTTTGCCGGAATCATCCATCCTCACCACACCTGGGACCTGGGGCATGACGAGTCTCCCAAGAGTTAACACAAGGGTCCCCTTCTGGCCTGTTTATCTGCTTAGCGTTGCGAGTTATGCTTGGCTAAATTAACAAAGAGATATATACGCTTATATTTAATAGGCAAAGTTAAAGTGATCTGTTGCTCAATTGAGTATTGCGGCAGCATTCATCTCCTGCTACAGCCCCGAGCCAATGCACAAACATTCCACATTACTATGGCGAGTGTGAGTCTCTCCATCGGGCAACCACTGTCGTCTTGCCCATACAGCGGTATTAATTTTAATGTCCACGTAGAGATGGTGGGCTGAGCCAACATCCACCAATCATGATTTGAACCCACAATCTTCCGATTGCGAGCCGCTCACTCTCACGACGAGCTATCTGGCCAGATGCATTTATAAAAAAAACATTTTTAACTAAAAGAGCACGTGTATTGTAGAGGAATGACAAGACAAAATCCCCTACGTAGCCTGCTGGGGGAAAGTACTGCTAGCGAGCGCCTATTATTGTCATTGTAACACGTGGAGAATGGATTGGCAGGGAGGGGGTGGCTAGCCCCACGTCCGGCCGCCTTTGTCTCCACCATTGTTGCACCGCATCAGGTACTCTTTTAAGGCTGAGTTGACCTAGGGGAGATGCCCAGAACCAGTTCAGATATTCGCCACCGGTTTTGGCTGTGAGCGAGGGTTGACATCAGGGTCAACGCGCTCGTAGCACGGTGTACTAACCACACCACCACCGCTCCCCACATGCATGACACACGGGCGCACGCACACAAACATTATTGCCCAGGTACAGAAGCCGCCTGCAAATTTGCGTCGTCGTTGCTTGAGCCACAATTTAAATGGGGGAACGATGTCGGGCCTTAAGGAAGTGGGGATGAGGCGTGGGGGGGGGGGAGTAAGGAAGTGGGGACAGGTGACGAAGGTGGGGAGTTGAGGTTGGTAAGTGAGAAGGTGGGCAGGTAACAGGTAAGTAGGTGGAGAGGTGGGGAGGCCAGGAGGAAGGGAGCTGAAGCTTTGATGAGGTGAGGAGTTGAGAAGGTGAGCACACAGGCGTTTGCGGTGCATCGCTGGAAGGAGGCCTCACCGCAGAATGTAGAGCATGACGGCCCCGAAAGTCGCCAGCAGCAACACCAGTGCCACCACCACTCCCACCAGCACTGCAGAAAGACAAACACACGCGCACAACCGCAATCACCGGCACGATATCGTGCAACAGACACGTATATCTTGTAGATGATAGACGTGCAATATTTTTTTTTATGTTGACTTTTTGGTCCCAACTTTATCGTCCCTTCGCCGGCATTGGATGATGAATGGCCATGTAATCTCCTGCTCTTTCTCTTCACTTTGTCCAAACAGGCACTGTAGCGCACTCTTTGTTTTGCTTTGCGATTCGCAGATGGCAGTGAGGCGGTGGTTGCCGGGCGGTTAGTTATCTTAATTAGAAATGCTTGCCCGCTCTCCAAATTAAGTCACTTCGTCTCAAAAACACAAATTAGCATTTTGGAGTGGGGAAGTTTCGTGCCAATTCACGATGCATCGCTAATTCCTTGTCCAACCTTTATTTCTAGATTATCAAAGAAATGACGGACAAACGGCGTTTGGTAAAAACCCACACGGACGATGAGACAACACTCAAAAGCCCCACAGAGCCAGGGCAACTTTCGAGTTGGTGTGCTGCTTCGTGCAGGCACATCTCGATCGCTGCCCCCTGCAGGAGGGCATCTCGCACGTATGATCCCGACGTGATTCTCTAACCCTGTATTATGTGATGTAGGTGCACACCACTGTAATTGGTGGTTTGCACAGAGCGCTTTGCCCCTGGAGTGTGTCGCTGCTGTCAACACAGCATCAGCTCACCTTGCCTGTTCATGGCTCCTGTGGGGGGTAACACAAATAAAATAGTGTTAACATAACAAACAAATGCTACAGTTTGGTAAATGGAAGATGCCGTGTACACTGCATAATTAACATTCTATGTTTACAATTGAGTAGAATACGATTTGGTAATTGCAAAGCATGCACTCTTGTGATGTAGGGACGTACTTGTGTTGTCATCTGGGTGCAAAGAGTCAGAATCTAAAAAAAGAGAGAGCAAAAGTAACGTTAGAATTTTAAGATAATACATATGCAATTATATTGGGAGTGGTGGCACAGTGGTTAGCAAACTTGCGCTATGAACCTGGTGACCGACGTTTGAATCCCAGCCATGGTTACTATCAGTGGCAAGTGATATTTTAACCGGTTCTAGGTACCCCCCTTCAGAAACTTATACTGACATCATGTTGGCAAAACACACAGAAAATAGTCGATTGACAATATATCTTATTCTTGGTTCTTTCGGTAAAGTCACGTAGAAGGGAAATAATAAAATAATAAAAATAAAACATGATAAAATTCTCACGAAGTTTCGGCCACAACGCAAGCAGCCGTCCTCAGGTGAAGAACAGTGCTGTCGAATAGACACTAGGATGCTGTCTAACATTAGGACGCTGTCTTTCCGACAGCTCTGTTCTTCACCTGAGGACGGCTGCTTGCGTTGTGGCCGAAACGTCGTGAGGATTTTATCATGTTTTTTATTTTTATTTTATTATTTCCCTTCTACGTGACTTTACCGAAAGAACCAAGAATGTGAATCCCTGCAGTCACGAAAGCTTTAAATCGACAATATATCTCATAGTGATAATAATGTGCAGTGCATTGAAGAAGACCTAACAGAGAATGGCTTAACGACACAAGAGATTTGGTGCCAGCAAGATGTGGCACTACTTGAGCATATTGGCACAAGACAGAGGTTAAGTGGAAACAAATGACGAAATGTGCAGTGACCACCTACGGGATATTTGCGCATATATCGTGGTGGTGATGATGATGATGACAGTGCATTGTCAATCCACTGCTGGTCGAAGACTTCTCCGTGCCATGTCAGCCAGGGGAGTAATTTAACCATACTGCACCACTTTGGTTATGGTGTAGTAGTGGGAGCCCAGGACGGATTCCAATGTCACTCACCGCTGACGCTAGCCACGGCCAGGTATAAAACTCAGAAAGCTGGTTTCACACGGCAGTGCACAAACAAACACTGCACCACCACTCCCCCCCGCGGATAGACTATAGTTTGCTCAACCACAATTATGGCATTTTTTTGCGAGGATTACTGAAAATATACCCACTATAAAACTGTACGTAAACATCCGTTCGGCACGGGACGTTAGCACGAGTGCACACGGTGTTCAATGTGGAATTGGTTCAGATAGATTCCTCTGGTTTTCGTTCTGTATTGACCACATGGCTCGGCCCAGCCGCTACGGTCACAGCTATTGTTGCCGTCTTCCTCCTCCCTCGGGCCCAGGCCCTTAATTTACGTCGCTGTGAATTGAAGGAAAGAGGTCCGGGTGGGGGCAGAGAATATCCACGAGTCTTTATTTTTTTTCCAGCGAATGGCTTGACAAACACAAAGGCTGTGCATTCGTGAGGTAGGCCTTGATAACGTGTCATCGCATTAATAATCTGGGCACGTTAAACATCTGCGAAGATTGTATTTTAAGAAACGTCTGACACCAGGGGAATTTTGCATGGAAAAGGTTTCACACGTAGCCTGTTTTGTCAATCGACTGCTGGATGAGGGCCACCCCACGCTCCGAGGGTCATGGGGGTTATATATTTGGCCGTATTTCGTCATGGCTGGTTGGTGAAAGCAGGGAGCATAGATGTGGGAACAGAGAAGTACAATACAACAATCGATTTCCCCACAATTCCCTCTGCTGCCCACCAATGTAGCAGCACAGCAGCCTGTAGCAACTGCTGTGCACAGCGGGCGCACATCCTCACACTCAACCCTTGCTTAGCTTGCGCGATTCGGCACATTCCAAGAGATATTGTTGGAGGCGAGAGGTTTCACAGCACGTAGGTTATACAAAGTGCCGCATATTACTTGAACCATTTATGACGTAACGGTGATACATGCTTCCTGCCAAACATAGTGCACTATTAGGGCGACTACATCATCTTCAGTGTTGCAGTGCACATCATTTGTGCATTCGCCAAACGACTCACTTTGCATGCGCGCCGGCTGTAGGAATATTTAAATCTGAATTGTCAAGTGAGAGCATCATTTTGAGTGCGTTCCACAATTTCAAACGGCGGAGATTTATTTGCTCCAAGACATGAACACACATGCGCTGAAATATTTGTTTTTGAATAACGAGCACAAGTGATTGATTAAATACCGAGTCGGGTGGTGTAGGGTCTACACAACACACATTTTGGTCAAATCGTTCCGTGGCCGAACCCGAAAAATCTATTATAAATCTGTTCAATACATTTTATTTGTAATAAAATATATATTGTAATATACCATATTTAATACAAGATGCATTCACTGTTTTGTAATGTATATTTTAGATTTTAAACATTACAACCTTGCATATAAATTTAGATTTACAGCTGTTTATTGTTTTATATTTTTATTATTTTATTTTTTCCCTTCTACGTGACTTTACCGAAAGAACCAAGAATATGAAACCTTGCATATGTTTCTGTGCACGTGTGCATTTGAGTATATTTGTAGGCATTTGTGTTTTTGCATGTCTGTGTTAAAAAAAATAGAAAAAATGCCCATTATGTATTGTTACATTCGAATTTTATTACGATACTGATAATACAAATTGAGTAATCATGGCTTTCTAATTAGCCAAAATAGGTCTTAGAGCCGCAGGTCCGTAGGAGGCACAATGCAGGTCAGTAAACATGTGCACTCATGCTGCGTTTCCATGACTACTGGGAAGTGAGCTGGCTCCAATCATGAACTGAGCTAATGGGATCAGCCCTGTGTTTCCATGGCAACTTTACTGGCTGACTCGGAAACCAAACTGGCTCTGGAAGACCCCTTTTTTCCACTGGGACATCCGAGCCAAACCAGCGTGGGGCCCTTGCCGTATGTGTGAATTTCCAGTCAGGGCCAGGAGTGGCGGGGTTAATGAAATGTCCATTTTGCGTGACGTATTTATGTATGTACTGTATGTATGCATGTTTAACTTCTTTCGCCACACACCGTACGTTGCCAACGGTGTTAATCAGAGGTGTGGGGGAAGGACAACGCAGTAAACCCAAAAAGCAGTTCTAAAGAAATTCCAGTGGCTTCTGAATATCGAAAGGAAGAGCTTTCCGGACGTACGTCAGAACACCGACACGGTGAACCGCGTCGCCGCGTCAACCCTGTTCACTGCGCGTAACACCAGCGGCGCGGCTCGACTGCCGCAGTGGAAAAACCACCTGGCGTCACCTGGCGACTGTACAACAGGGCCGTGCTGGGACCGTGCTGAGTCAGCCCCACGCGGCTCTTCGTGTGCAGTGCGGACGAAGTGCACGAGTGGGCCATCGGCACACGGCGTTGGGAACCACGGGACCGTGCTGTGCCACCGAGCCAGCTCGCCCAGTGGTCGTGGAAACGTGGCACAGAATCGCCCGGCCCACATGCGTGTGGTTGTCAGAGGTGACAGAGCAATGTGAGGGATATAAAGACCCCCCCCCCCACCTCCTCCTGGTGATTCACGAGCCCCACGCACGCTCTCCTACCCACCAGAGGTCGCAAACGGGTTTTGATTCCTTACCCGTACCCGTACCCGGCCGAACGAGGGTCGCAAATGGGTACCCGTACCCGTACCCGGACGGGTATGGGTACCCGTTCCCTACCCGTACTCGTACCCTACCCGAAATGAGTGACAAACGGTTACTCACCAGTGACTCACGGCCTACCCATACCCGGCCGCACCAGGGTCGCAAACGGGTACCCGTACCCGTCCCCGGCCAGGTACGAGTAGCCGGGTATCGGGTAGGGTACGGGTATCATGTACCCGGTTGCGACCTCTGCTACCCACCCACACACCCACAGATTGACTCGGCTTTGAACTCGCACTTCGTTATGCCTACTCCCGCTCGTTCACATGAGAATCAAAAGCCGGTGAAAGATCGTGATTAAACGCTGTGTGTGTGCGTGCGTGCGTGTGTGTCGCCATCCCAGGAGTGTATATTTTCAGTGCAATTATCCTGGTGGTTCTGGGTGTTAACGTGAACAGAGCCTTGCAACTTTATAAACGTTTGGGCTGAAATAAACCATATAATTCCAGGATGCCAATGAGGCATCCTGCAAACATAATGAGGCGGTCGCATAATCATGTAGACGGTGCTATAACTCGCGTTGAACTCTTATCTATTCCAGCTTTGATAGTGCTTTTTTATTGGTGGCCGCTTGACGTTTTGGACCTTTTGGCCTGTGCTCAACAACTGCGTGAAAACGATGCAGTTTGTTGTCTATTGTTTAAGCAGCATCATATCGTGCCGCAGCTATTCAACAGGCAGGTCACGTACGGTGCGGCCAAGTTTGGGTATCGCCATCTCTTCCACGGCACCTGTCCAGTGTGGAAGAGTAGGCCAAATAGCATCTAGAGGGGCCCTCTAGAGCCTCCTTTAGTGGAGGTCCTTCCGCCATCAGCGGTGCGAACAAGCAAATAAACGGTTGCACCTTTAACACACCGCGCTGCAAAGGCAATGGCACGTCAAGTGTCGTTATAGAGCTGACCGTAGCACGCACACGCAGGCGCATCTCGGGTCTTGGCATCGTTCTCGAAAAACGCCTGCCGTGATTACTAACCCCTACAGGGCCTTGGAGCACACATTCAATTACTCTCCTTGCTCACCGCTTCAAACTGATTCAGTGAAACATGAAATTGAGTGAAGGTCCACGGTCGCGACTGCAATGAGGCCAGCGCGTACGTGCGTGCGTGCGTGCGTACGTACGTGCGAGCGGGCGTGCGTGCAAGCGTGCATGCGTGAGGGCGTACGTGCGGGCGTGCGCGTGTACGTGCGGGCGTGCGTGCGAGCGTGCAAGCGCTACCACGTGTGTTTGGAGGAGCCGAGCGATGGGCTTTGAGTCCCACGGCCGGTGTGATTTGAGGGGCGGTCTGGGTTGGAGTCGGTTGTTGCTCTGTTAGAAAAAAAGAACACAGCACGCGTGATGCACTACTTGACCGATTCAAGTGTTGGCAAATATTATTTTTAGACCACTGGGAGAAATCACTGCAGGTGCTTTCATCAAGATTTCAGTCAGGCTGAATGAACGACTTTGAGCAAAATGTTGGCCACTGTCTGTATGTCATCATCATCCTAGTTGCCATTATCATCATCACCACCGCTTTCGTCATCACCATCGCTGCCTCCATTAACACTGTCACCACCCGTTACCATCATGATCACCACCACCCATCATTATCATCACTGTCACTACCCACCATCATTATCATCACCACCACCATCATAGCCATTGCCCATCATTACCACCATCATCACATATTATTATCATCCTCATCACCACGATCACCCATAATTATCACGACCACCACCACTCCCAATACCATCATGACCACTACCCGAAGTGACCATCACCATCATCATCGCTCACCCGCTATCAATAACGCACCACAGATCGTCGATCAGCAACATCAATCAGCCATTGCTTATCCTCCGCTGAATGACGGCCTCCGCATTCCATCGCCATCACCTCACGCTCCTGCGACGCCACAATTCGTCTCGCTCCTGCACGGGTACTGATCTGATCGCTCCATCCTGAACGGCGGTGTCTCCTTCCCGGTTGCGATCTTCCCTTCGGGGCTGCCAGTCCGTCGCCAATCTCATCAATCTGCCATCATCCCTTCTAAGCAACGATGTGCCCCTTGCCCAAGAACACCGGCTTCTCCGAGCAGTCGATATGATGCGTCTGATTTTGTGATTGATCCATGATCTATGCTTCCATGCATATTTAATGATACTTGGTGCTTTATAAAGTGCTGTATAAAATTAGACTTCCCCTTAATGTTGCAACTGTAAACCGACCTTGGTGGAAAACAACTTGGCTCTGCCAAACACCTTGAAATAAATAGGGTCAAATGTGTGCTGGTGAATACTGCATTTGTGAAGTACTTGCTTTGTTAAATAAGCCTCCTCCTCCTCCAAGCTTCGTTTATTTATGTTCCTTTGTTTTTTTTTGGGTAATTTTTTCGTTGTTTTTTTTTTACTGGCAGAGGTTAAAATGTTGCCGTAAATTATTCCACAGAATTAGGCAGTCTTCCCCTACACAGATGGTGTACATTGTCTGCCTTGTATTGCATAGATGTGATAAATGATAGGATTGTGTTTTAAATTAGTTGGGCCCATTCGTCTCTGCCATCATGCTAACAATAAACTATAGATACAACATAAGAAAAACGGTACTCTGAGTGCATTCTTTGCTATCATCATGATCATGATTTATCTACAACTGCATGAAGGTGTCCCCAAGCCTTCGCCATGTATTGTTGTCTCGAGATACAACAGTTGATATAATTTCATCTTTCCATCTCCAGGCATGTTCTCTACCTCTGACATGCCACTACCCGTCATGCATATGAGGGTAAAAAAAAGATCCTCATCACGATCTCCAATCATAACAAATCATCAAATCGTGGGCAGTGACTGGGTGAATCATGACACATCACCAAACCCTGAGTACGGGAGCCACATGCAGCAGTGGTTGGCATGGGCCCTGCAACAAGGAATTAAATGCGGCCCTCTCCTCTTCCTCGCCCAGCACCTGGGGCTCTTTTGCCCGTGGGCACAGGCGCAGTCGCACCGCCTGCGCACTCAACAGCTTAGGCCCCCCCGACCCCCTCCACCTTTCCATAGCCCGTTGCCTGCGCACCTCCAGCCCGTCAAACACGGTGCAGTCGCACCGCCTGCACACGCGACAGCCACGGTGTAAACTGCAGCGCTTACCGATGGCGCTCGTCGCCTGCTCCGATGGCAGCTGGGCTCGCGAGAGGGCGGCGCTGGCGCACCACAGCAGGATGGCGCGCGTGTCCATGGCGTTCCTGCAACACACACACACCTCGGGCGAGTCAGCACATTGTGTGTGGACGTTCCCCCCCCCCCACTGCCACCGCCACCGCCACCACCTCCTCCAGCGCGAGCCCCCGGGATGCGGAGCGTTGGTATTCAGCGCTCCGTGTAACGGTGGAGACGACGTGCGCGCCCGTGCCAGCGCCGCTCCGGAGTCTTCCGCGTTGAATTTCGTTTTTGCCACGGCACATGCTGCGATTTGTTTATTTTGGTATGGCAAACCAATACTTGGCAAACGACCCACTGTCTCTGCCGTGTTGTTTTATTATTTCGTCCTGATGAACTTTTGCAATGGAGACAGGCTCTCACACCGTTCTAGATGCTTTTTTTTCTCTCTAAATTTAATTGAGCTTTTCTCCAAACGCTGTTGCGACACAACACACTCACAAACGACATGAAAAAAATCCAACCTAATGCATATCCATAATGCGCATTCACTCAAGTTGCCTGACGTAGCTTACAAAACGATGATGTAGTTGGCATCGACTAGAGGCGTTGACATGTGATCACTCTGTATTGCGGCCTTACCAACCTAAGTTGTGTTTCTGAGGTTAAGGAGGGTTGGGGGACACATGAACCAGTGGTCTTGCTTAGGGGGGGCCACCACACCAAAGAGACTGAGACCCACCGCTTTAACTACCCACGTGTCAAATACCTCTGCATCGCGAGGGGTTAACAAACCCACAGCTCAGCGACCGCGGCGGTTGACTCTGGGTACGTGTTTGCTCTCATCTCTAAATCATGGCCGGATGATTGTGCTGCAGGGCCCCGCCACGTGAAGCTAATCCAAACAGCCATGCCACATGCCGATTGTGCATTGCGTTCATTCCTGAGGTTGGCACGCTTTAGGAAATATATATATATACACCCCACCTTTGACGGATGAGGACAAATGAGCTCCAACCTTGCGTCTGTGCCGTCACGAGCACGCGCTTCTGGCGCAATTCGCGATTCTGGCGAACGCCCATTCTCGTCCAATTAATTTGATGCAAACGGTCCCACGCATATTCCATCATGGCCGATGGGGTTCAATTGCTACCTTGGTGCGTTTTTGGCTGTTTCCTATAAGAAAAAATATGAACTCAGCCCCAATGCGTTCTCTGCGTTGGCACGATTCGCCCACAGTGCGTGCCGTGATTTATCCAGCAACATGTTTAGACATCACTGAGAGACAACCTACAGCAATTCGGACGAAAATCCATCTGACGGTTCAGTCTCTGTGACACGAATGCTGAATGTGCCGACATGGGAAAGCTTCGAATACGCAGGAGAGCACAGACTACGAGCAGGTTCAGCGCTTAGTCAACAGCAAGTAGTCGTGCACATGTTGTACACTTATAGTACAGTAGAACTCCTCTCATCAACGATGACATGGTGGGCGCACTTCACAGATCCCGTCAGTAGATGTATGCTTCTTCTTGGTTCTTTTGGTAAAGTCACGTAGAATGGAAATAATAAAATAAAAAAAATAAAACATAATAAAATAATTCTCACGACGTTTCCATTCTACGTGACTTTACCGATAGAACCAAGAAGATGAATCCCTGCAGTCACGAAAGCTTTCAATCGAAATTTAGATGTACGCAGTATGCACCGAGAACAAATCGCGAGAAGGTGACCCCCCCCCCTCCCACCGACTTCCAAAGTGTGACTGTGCCTGTGGTGTTGGAATATGCCGCTCGTGGTGCGTTGGAGAACGACGTGTTCTCGAATGAAAACTAACTTCTTGAGATCTGATTTTTGTGTTTCGTTTGCTGTCTGATTAGCACGGTTGGCTCCGCATGGTGCGCGAAAGAAGTTCACACGTGTTTATCCCGAACATAGTTTTAACTCCACACATCTCGTGTTCACGTTTAATAATTAATGGTCGGCTATTTTGGGCTCGCCTCCTTTTTTTACCCTGCATCTCGTCGCGGGCACTCTCCGCTGCCTGCGGGTGAACCTTGCGCGTCGCTGCGGAAACAGAACGTCGAACGCGTCGTCGCGGCACTTTCGAACGACGGAGCCCATCGAGGAGGGAGCGAGACGCGGTCGCCGCTCTCCGCCGAAGGCGAAGTGGATTTCTCCGCTCGGAGGCTCCCGTCGACGGGCACGGGGCCGCCGCTGTAAGCGCGCGCGCGCCGCTTTCAACGGAGAAATCGCATTCGAAACGTTCAACGGGTCAAGACGCAGCGGCGGAGCCGGGTGGCACGGTGAAGTCGATATTAAAGGTGGCACTCGGGCGATGACGCTACAGGCTGGCGAGTGTTTTCTAAGATTGGCACGGAAGTGGGACGGGGAGGGGAGAAGTTGGGGGCGATGGAGGAGGAAAACGCTGAGTTTCCGTCGGCAGTCACCGACACGCTTCTGAACGCCCGCTTCAGAAACTCTTCAGCACTGAGCCGGAGCGCGTCAGTCACGACCGCATGGGGCACCACGGTGGCAAGATGTTCGCTACCTCGCCTGCTATGGAGGAGGTCATGGGTTCGATCCTGACCCTGACGCCTGCTGTATATTTGGAGTTTTCATGTTCTACCCGTGGTCTCCGAGCCCTCCAGTTTTTCCCTCCACATTTATAAACATGTGTTTTGAGTATTTGGCTGCTATACATTTCCACGTGATGAGCCACTTTGTGAAGCTATCATTTTTGGCCAGTTCGCTTCTGGAAAAAAAACTGCATAGATCAGTGGGCATTACCTGGTAATATAAAAAATAGTTTAGTTAAAATCGTTTTAGTTTACCATGATTAAGAAGGATTTTTCTTGAGGGATAACAAATCTACGGGATCATTTTTGCCATTATCAAAATAATGAAAAAAGGAGAGCGTCTGCTCTTTCCGGAAAGAATACAGGAGGTGTGAATCAAACACCAAATATATCCCGATTGCAGGGCATCACGTCTGCATTATTCACACAAATGCTCGTGTGCAAAACATGCAAACAAACGTGCTTTCGAAATGTATGTTGTTCACTTTGTGCCGTTCTCTGGACTGGCGCTGGTGCGACAAGGCCATGAAGAAGGATGTCTCCGGTGTCGGCCAATCAGTTTCAAAGACAACGCATACACGATAAAAGCATGCTTGTTTGCACGTTTTGCCACAAGCGTGTGTGGTTAATGCCGACTTGATGCCTTGCAATAGGTGTCTGCTTGGTGTTTGAACAGCTTAACGCCTCGTGCGTGATCGCTGTAAATGGAAAAAAAACCTATTCTTGTTTTTAATCACGAGTGATAACACGCTCGTGTCGTGTCGGTTGTAATTTAACTCTTAGCGTAGTTCACACGCTCTTCTTGCGAGCACTCCAACCTCGGCTGCACCCACAGGACGTTTCGACAGGCAGGCTTCTTCTTGACGTAGAGGTCCCCGGTGCAAACCCCCGGGTGTGTGGGGGTTTTGATCCCAACAAAGCCTCTTGGGGACCAAATATTAAATTGTCAACGTCGTCTGTCGAGACTGCCTGCTGAGTGCAACCAAGGTTGGAGAGCTCACAGGAAAGGTGAGTGGCCCATCCTAACACATTGCACCTTCGCGAGAGCGGCGTTTCTCAATCCTGTCTGGCCCGTGCACCACACGGCCGATGTAAACATTCCCGTGGACCACACAGACCCCCCCCCCCCTGCACCCCTGGTGAAAAAAACACAATCGCTTCTCTCTCTCTCTAAGTGCCAGTAACACAAAACGATTCATATTACTGGAACACAATATTTTTTTTAACGCAGCTATAAGTCTTTTTTTTCGGGAGGGGGCATTTAGCTTGGGTAGTTTGATCAGGATAGTTTACCGAGCTTCATTTTTACATAAAATATGAATACATTTCCGTGACAAAAAGGTATAAACATTGTCATTATTTACAGATCAACCTGCGTCTGCATCACAGCCCCTCGGACCACACCGGTGGTGCCGGGGGACCGCACCCTGAGAACCGCTGCACTAGATAGAGGGAGCATGGTAACAAAAACAACATTTAAATAACATATAGGACAATCATGTTTGTGCAAGTGTTGAGATGATAAATTTCGATTTAAATTTCGATTTCGATTAGTACTACTTGCATTTCACAAGTAGTACTAATCACATATCTGCATTTTCCATAAATATGCTAAATTCCTCTTGATATGCAAATTATTTTGTCAAGGCGCTCTTCCCCTTCCAACCCAGCTTAAATATACGCTCCAAGCGTGGTGGTGTTTCATTCAGACGCTGTCTCCCCGACAGACCTGGTCTTCACCTGAGGACGGCTGCTTGCGTTGTGGCCGAAACGTCGTGAGAATTATTTTATTATGTTTTATTTTTATTATTTTACGTGACTTTACCGAAAGAACCAAGAAGATGCTGAGCTGATCTTGCATTGGCCGGCCTACATAAAGCACGAGCTGCAGCAGCTGGCAACTCGATATCCCCGGGGCAGAATGCGACCTGCTCAGTTCAGTTCGTGAAGAAGCACCCAGGTGGTGGAGCGAAACGCCGAACATCATGCCGCACAACACGCGGCAAACCAGCCTGAGAACACGTCGGAAAACCGTGCGGATGCCTGTGTCTGTACCAGTGGTTGGCAACCAAATCAACAGGAAGAGCCACATTATTTTAGAATTCGGTAAAACAAAAACAAACAAAATTCTACATTACAATATCCGCATTGCACGTGAATAACGCCACAAAGCGGTCCTTAAAGATCCGCAGGTTTGCCGACCCCTGGCCTGTACGAAGCCTGCGCGAACGTGCATTGCCATCCGGCGTGAACCAAACACAGCGTGAACGCTTGCACACGCGACCTCGCCCATCCCCTCGCTCTCGCGGGATTCGCAAGACTGCCTCGGGTCCCTGCCGGGAGGTTTTTCATGGTGGGGAACTCCGAGGGGAACATCTGTTCTTTCGGGTACAGAACGGACGCCCAGACGAGAGAGCGGCGGGCGAGATGTCCTCGAAGATTACCGCGTCCGCGTGCAGCGGCGCACGAAGGCAACGGTGCGTTCATGTTTTCCCCGATGAAAGCGA